CCAGGCAATACAGGACGCTTTGCCTGGCTTTTCTGATAAAGTCATGATTGTGAACATTGAGTGAAAGGTGAACACATCTATTGGTTTCACTTTTTCCCCAAACATAGGCCAAGCATATTAGGAATATAAACTACACAAAATCAACCAATCCTCAAAGCGGACAAGAGCACACCAGACAGTGATATCCCAAAGCGAATAAGAGCACGAGGCATGAAGGCTGTTCTCTTGAAGTCCTAAAGCCCTGTACTCTCATGCTAGTGCTCCCTCCTCTGCTCTTAACTCAAAATGCTGCTCTTATGTCAAAGTGAACTCTGGGTTGACCCACAGTTCTTATCTCAAAACACTTTTAAGTTGGAAGGCTCTTAAGTAGAGGTTCCACTGTATATCCAAAGGAAAATCCTGGTTTTTTTAATGCCGTCTTTGTATTACTATGGACATCGACTCAAGGTTATATTATCTTTGGTCTGTAGGCCACATTTGCCCATGTCAATGCTGTTTGCACCCCTTGTACCTCTTGCTGCCTCCAATCAATTGTCATCATTAACCTATCTCCTGTCCTGCTACTTCTACTTTGGACCAAAGTGTTTTTCTCTTCCACATGCACAGGTCCTCAACCCCATCTCTAACTGTTGGTCATCTTTCAGTGATGTTGAGCAATGAATGGTGGGTCAATACTCAGTTGCCTGGCTTGTAACAGCTTTTCTTTCATCCTGTGTATCTTGATCCTAAATATAATAGGAAGAACTTCATTGTTATCAAAAACTTGCAGAGATATAAGCAGAATCCCAAAGGGCAAAGAAGCATTATTTTAACTCACTCCATATTTCCTTTCCTTTCCATTGGATGGTTATTCTTGTCCCTTTATGAATCATTTCTCATACTACAGAGAGCCTTCTTAAGAGGATTTGGCCTCCTAATTCATTCTTTGAGTCAGGCCATTTAATTGCTGGACCTTATTTTTGTTTTGTAGTTTGCATATTGCTTTGACACAATAATTAACGATACTTTCCTCAGTCGTTTCATGGTCATTTACTGAGTGGCCAAAATGTTTAGTCAAAAGATTTGACCTGTTCATCTCTTGCTTTCACATGCATTTTAGTCATAGTTTCCCCCCTCTAAGACGTTTTCTTTTTACTACATCAGAAAACTTGGGCTCATATAAATTCGGTTTCTATTTCAGGATTTTAATGTTTGCTTGCTTCAAAAAAATGCCACCTTCCCAAAGCAGATGGTTTCTCAAGGTAACTTACAGCTGCAGGGGTGACATAAAAATATTTAACTTCAGTAGTTAACAATATTTAACTAAAAGACACAGCGTGAAACATTTTCTAATCAGACTACTATCCATGCCACTCATAACAAAGTGAAATTACATCTTAAACACTTCAGTTTCAATTATATCTATTTAAAAATGATTGAATCAGAAAGGACATTTGAGCCCGCTGGAAAGCAAAAAAGGGAAGGAGCCAACTGTATGTTTGTTAGGATAGAGTTTCACAAAGGCATAATTAGAATACACTTTTAATATGAGCTCATTTTTTAGTTTTGTGTGTTAATACATGTATTTCCTCAAATCAGGTCTTATTTTCAGAATAAGGTTACCATAAATCAAAGCCAATCTAAAGGTACAAAACATAATAATATGAATCTTAGTTTGGCTTCCTGTACTTTAGCGTAGGGAGTCATTTCCCTAGCCCAGAGCAGGGGTCCTAACCCTAATCTTATAGGCTTCTAGTCCAACATTGAAAACATGACATATACGGTTTGAGTGGCTCTTGGGAGTTACAGTATTTTCATTTTCCTCTCCCCCAAATAATTATGAGAGATGCAGGTGTGAAGGCTGAAAAAAATAGCCTTTGGGGTTCTATGAAACGATTTGGCCATGGAAGTCCCATTCCTTTTACTTTGTAGGAATGAGAGCTATATATCTACCACAAAACCCCTGTATCCACAGGACTGGTGTTGGTGCTTTTCTTTACTCATGCCCAATAAATATATTGGGCATGGGTAAATTTGCAAGGCATTTTCTAGGACTTCCAACATGATTCCCAGATATTTGTGGGACAGAATTCCTACATTTCAATGAGGTTTGCTATTATCCATGGTTTCACATATGTATGCCAAATCCAAAAACGTATCCCCAGTATTACTGTAGATACAAACATTTCTACTAGCTGAAACAGTGGCTCATACTAGAGCAATGCTATCAAACCAATATTTATGCTATCAATAGATGTCAGTGTGTTTAATATCTTAAATAAATAAAAAATTATTTATTTATTTACTTTAATTATATACAATTTTTCTCAGCCCTCAGGCGACTCAAAGCGGTGAACAACATCAATACAAAACATCACGAGACAAGTATAGGGCAATTAAAAACAATTGTAACATAAATCATTAAACATCCGTATAACAATCATTAGCGCCTCAACAGTAAAATCAGAATCCAGTCTCATCATCCATTATTCCGTATTCCTATGTTCAATTACACTGTTTAATCAAATGCTTGTTCGAACAGCCAGGTCTTCACTTTCCTCCGAAACGCCTGATATCTGCAGGCAGGGCGTTCCACAGCCGAGGGGCCACCACTGAGAAGGCCCTGTCTCTCATCCCCGCCAAGCGCGCCTGTGATGCAGGCGGGACAGAGAGCAGGGCCTCCCCAGATGGTCTTAGTGTCCTAGCCGGTTCATAGGAGGAGATGCTAGCAACATTGAGCCATACAAAATCTGCTCAGTCTGATTGACAAAACTCTCTTGCCAGGATGACTTAGTGAAGTAGCTGCCTCAGGCAGCAAATGCGAGGTTAGTACATTTTCATGAAAGGGCAGTACATTTTTGAGAAACGAAGGACCTTATCACATAAAGGGAGGGATTCGCCATGCATCGTGGTGAATCCATAGGGTCCCGGTGGGGGGCATGGAGAACCCGTCACTCCACATCACCCAACTTACTGCCAGTCCCATGCCACAGGGGGAAGCATCCGCCACCCCAGCTTCCCCCCATTGTAGCAAAGGCAATACGAGAAGCCTCCCATGTTGCCGCTGTGGTGGCAACATGGCACTTTCTTGCTCCATTTCACCATGGAGCCCAGCCAGAAGTAGATGTGCAAGGAAGCAGCGTACGATGGGCAAATCCGATAATAATAATAATAATAGTAATAATAATAATAATAATACTTTATTTATATACCGCTCTCTCTCCCTGACGGGACTCAGGGCAGTTTCCAAGCAACAACAACAAAACATAGAGTCACAGCATGAACAAAAAATAACAGTAACAGCAACATAACCATGGAATTACCCAACAACACATAAATATTAAAAGGAAAAAAGAAAAGAAAAATCCTGCCTACTCTTCATGTCTATTTGTTAGGGCATGGAAAAGGAATGGGTCAGGACAATTAAAAAGGCTGGGTCAAGACTGATACAAATTAAAATAAAATGGGACCGGCATTTGGGTACAGTACTGTAATAGGTAAACGACAAAAGCGGGGACGGGCTATTTCCAGGGGCCTGTTAGGAGAATGACCAGGGTAATATATAGGGGGCTAGGTTGTGTCCGGACAGTGTCTGGGCTGAGATGGTATGATGAGGTCGTAAATGGTGCTGCTACAGCATGGTTTAGTGGTTTGAGTATTCAAGTAGGATGCTAGGAGACATGGAGTTTAATCTTTGCTTATCTATAAAAACCCACTTGGTGACCATGGGCAAGTCACATTCTCTCAGCTTCAGAGGAAGACAACAAGCCTCTTCTGAAAAATTCTGCTGTGTAAATTATTGGTTTGCCTTAGATTTGCTGTGAGTCAGAAATGACTTTACAATAATGTAAAGAAGTTTGTGGGATTTTTTAAAACTTCGTGTGACTAAATAATTTGGCTGCTCCTGGGTATCACTACTAGGACCCAACATGAGTAATGGAGTGCCACTCCTTGCACTGCCTCAGACAGCACTATGTTTGGGCACAGCCTTGAACATCTCCTCATTCATCATATCAAAATCCAGGTTTTCAAATATAGTTTGTATCTTGATGTGGCAATGAACCCCCCTGCCTACTTTTCTTTCCCCTTCTCTTCTGATAACTCATTCAAATGCATGACATATTTGAAAGGAACAATGTACTGGGAGAGTCCCTTTGGTTTCTGTGATGAACATGCTGTCATCTGACAAGCGGCCTGCAGCCGAAACGCCAGTCTCGCTTTCTCAGCTGTCCTGTTGCAGGGAATCAGACAGCTGTTGCCTAATACCGCAGGCTGCTTCTGGCACGCTCTGTATTTCTAGCAATAGCCTGAATGCCCTATGGCAGGGTTAAAAACTGTCAGTGAGTTCTCCAACACTGAATTAATGTTCTCCCTTGTACCACCCTTCAGTCTAAATGAGCTGGACACCATATCATTTTGAAACGTAGTGATAAAGAGGCATCTCATAAACTCAGTGTCTTCTGGCTTACTCACTACGAGGTTCAAATATTAAAACAATATGCAGAGTCTCAAATGCTAAAACAAAATTCATTGCTGGGAACAGAATTTTAACTGGAGGAGGAACATTTTTTCATCAAACTCCCACCATGTGTGTTCTAGAATATATCCACAATGAAACAACAACAAAAACAAAAAAATCAGCAATTTTAAGATTTTTTAAAATGATTTAATGCCAGCTGGAGCGTGTTACTTTTCCAGGCTTGAGATCTGGAGATGATGCTTCAGATTTCCTTGAGCTTATGCCTCTAAGACAGTTTGGTTAATGTAAACAACGCTTCACAGATAGCAAGCATGCTCTTGGGGGAAACTACTGTTTTTCTTCCTTTGCTCTCAAGAATGTAACACTTGATTCCTGGCAAACGGAAAGTGCCTAACTTCTCCAGGGCGTTTTGTAAAGTATGAGGAAGAGCAGTTTAACCTAGGGGGTCGAACTACCAAACTCGGGATATGTCATGCTTCTCCTTCATGATAAGCTCAATGGGGTTGTCTATTTTTAACCTCCTGTTCTTTCCTTTTGGCAGAGCGATCAGTGCTAGCTGAGCTCTTTCACGGAATGGAGCCAAGCCACCCCGCTTGTTGCCTTTTGCAATGACCAGCCCATCCACAGAGCTGCAGAGAGGAAGCCTTTTCACACGACACTTGGTCCTGTGGCTGCAACACCATGTCAAGCAATGACGGTCCTGATGGCCCAACTTCCACAACAACAATCAGCTCTGTTCTTGTTCAGGCTGGAGACTGCAGAGTCATCATAGCTATACTTAAGGTAAGCCAAATGGATCTTAACACTTGGACATATAGAACGGAGCCATTCAGCGGCTCCATGTTTTCATCGGTTCTTCTCCCATTTCTCTATCTGATTGACACAGAGCACTGAATTAAACGAAACAACAAACGTAAAGGTGGGAGTGAGGAAGTTTGCTAATGATTCCATGCTAAGTAAAATATTTAACAAACTATTACCCAAAAATAATGTATTCCATCTAGAACGGAAAATAGGTGCAACTTTCCTGGAGGAAATATCCCTTGACATTAAATAAACAGCAAAATGATGTCTGTGGAAACAGATATATGTACTTATTTGTCTCTGATTGTAAGTGCAGTGCTTCAAAATACGTAACTCTCTGTAATTGTTTGAAGTTGCTTCCAGTATGCAGAAAGGCCGATCCAGTGTGAGCAAATTATTTAAAAGAATTCTTCTGACATTTCTGCACAGACGAATAATTAATGCAGACATCAATCTTCATTTTAGAAAGGCGAAAGGCCTTACTTGAGCTTTTACTGGAATGATTTACCTTTACTTCACAACACCACCTCATTGTCAGCGTAAATAATTTACCAATATCAAGGGGAAAGAGAATACTTGGCATATTTCTTTGCTCAAAACTTAAGCTCAATGCATTGTTGTGCCTAGGAGAGTGCTCTGGACTAATTGGAAATTGTCCGCCAAACACAATAGCATCACTAGGGTTGGTGTCAGCCCAGTGCATTAAGTCATGGTGTAATCCCCAGGTATGCAGCCAACCTGCAGCTTTGGTAAGTGGAAGCCAGTGGTGGAAGGAAGGATCCTATCTTGGTTGTGTGTCCCCCGCCCTGCCCCTGGACCAAAGACAGTGGCAGTAAAGGCCCTGGACTGGGCCTCCAGAGTTCCCCAATAACGTTGCAGAAAGGGAGGATGATGCTGTTTAACTACCACCCAGACAGGCAGTGCCAGGTGCTGACTCCTCCCTTCTCATCACATTTGGGTTGTGCAAGTTTTTGGAGCATTTGATCTTCACCCCCCCCCACCCCGCCCTTCTACCCAACTATTCACACCCTGTGTCTCATCCTAGCTGTCCAACACACACCACTTGCCTTCTTCTCATTATGCTACCCTGCCCTGCCCTTCCCCTCATTGCCACAGTCCCACTTCCCTGGTCTGGCCAGCAGCTGGAAGGGTTAGTTGCAAGATGACTGTACCTCACCATCAGCCTCACTGGACAGGTGGCAGAGGGACCTGGGCCAGAAAAAGAAGTGACTCCTCCACCAGGTGTTCCCCTGCTCTCGTGGTATCACCTGGGGAAGTCCACCTCCATACAGTCAAACATAGAGAAGGAGCTCTGAATATGGAGAGGGAGATCCAATTTCAGATTACCCTTTCTGCTCCAATGAATCTCACTTCATCTATCTTCCTCTGACCTAGGATGAAGGGAGATAAAAGTAGATGCATTTGAGGCAGAGCAGGTAGTTTGATTATTGTAGGTTTTTCGGGCTGTATGGCCATGTTTTAGAAGCATTCTTTCCTGACATTTCGCCTGCATCTGTGGCACGCATCCTCAGATACCTCACAACCTCTGAGGATGCCTGCCACAGATGCAGGTGAAATGTCAGGAGAGAATGCTTCTAGAACATGGCCATACAGCCCGAAAAACCTACAACAACTCAGTGATTCAGGCCACGAAAGCCTTCGACAATACACAGAACAGGTAGTGCTGTGGATGTTCTCAAAATAATCTATATTATTTTGAGTATCATAATCACCACCAGCACTATTTTAATTCTGCCTTTTTCTTAGTTTGTGAGTCAAGGGAAAATACAACAATTTTTAAAAATTCACAAAATACAAAACTTTTAAAAATTAAACCACCTCAAAAATTAACGATAATGAAAGCATAAAGTATTAAACGCACACACACAACATACATTTTGGTGCCTCAAATGTCTCTGAGTATATTTGACCTGCTGATTCCAAAAATAGCACCAGTTGCGTGTGGATGGCCGACACTCCTCCCGCCATAAGAACCAGAGACGACACTGACACATGGATGGAGTAAAACATGGCCACAACTTAATTTATTGTTTACAGGAACAAGGGGTTGGCTTCCAGGCATGGGTTCTGGATCAAGATCGATCAGCCCGCTGCTGACCGATATGAGATGAGACCAACAGGGGGCCCACCGGCACAATAACGGACAACGAAAACGGTACCCCTGGGAACAGCCGTATCTTCCCTCCCCGGCCAGTAGGGGAGGAGCAGAAACCAGATCCAGGGCCCATGCCACATGCCAACGCAAGTTGTGACGAACAGATAATAACCAAAAAACTGCAATACTATACAACAACATGAAACATGCAGGGTGGGTGGGAGGACAACTCGAAGCAGGTCTGGGCCTGCCTGGCCCAGCAAAGCCTATATAAGGCTGCTGGGCAAGGGAGAGACCGGTCCCTTAGCCCCTTAAAGGCCAGCGGTGGGGCCGGCCGCTGATTGGCCTGCTGACCAGGCGACGGGAACGCTTCCCACCACGCAGGGGGCTTCTGGGAAGGAGAAGCCCTCTGCTCCCCATGTGGCCGGCAGGAGAGCGCCCCCCGCCGCAACAGGCCTTGCCCGGTAAGTCGGGCAATGCATTTTTCCCTATCAGCTCTAGTTTTTGAGATATAGAACATATGCCATGTACCATTCTTCATCTACTCACTCATAGAAAATCACAATAACCATATCTAAGACATTAGAGCACATGCAGTTTATTCAATGTAATGTTTTGAATCAGTGCCCCAAAATGACCCCAGGAACCAGCCTAAAAACCCACAATATTAATAATTTCTTTTAGTTGGGCTGTGAAGTCAATTGTTTAGGTGAGAAGAGTCTTCAAAACAGAAGCTTCACTTATTTATGGGGGGGGGGGAGAAGGGGGCGCCAGTCTAACTTCTCTGGGAAGGGAGTTCTAGAACCTGGGAGCAGCCACTGAGAAGGCCCTTTCCCATATTACCACCAGATACACATGTGAAAGTGTTAAGGTAGAGGGAAGGGCCTGCCTATCAGATTTTAAAACATGGGCAGGTTCATTAGGAAGAATGCTGTCCTTCAAACAAATAACACAAACCGTTAACGTCCAAATTCCCACAAATCCTTTGCTATGGCACCAAAATGAGGGAGAATTTCAGCTAATGTATGTGACTTTCTTGTTATAGGAGTAAAATTATTTTCTGTATTTCTGTGGGAAGAGACACAGAGAAACCAGTGAAAACTAATTAGTTTTCAGCCGATTTACTGTGAAAACCAATGTATGCATACAAATCCAATGTGGAAAGATGCGAAGAAACTGTGCCTAGAACAATATGTACCTATAATTTTATTTCAGTGTGGACAATGGGTGCAGCTCCAGCTAGCAGAATCAGTACCAAATGTATTAGAGATTGGCAGCAACCAAGAAGAGACCAAAAAGTTGTTACAAGATCACGAACTTCTCCTGGCTAAGATTAAGGTAAGACAGACACTACAAATACACTGAAATAGTACAAGTTATATTATGGTTCTGATCTGAATATTGGATTTCCTCACAGAATACTTTGTGTTTCCATTGGCAAATTACATCATACGACCACTCTTTGTAGGATTGGTTAGAGAATCTAAACATTATTGAAATGAACTTCAAAATAGAGAAATAAGTAATTTGAGCTTAATAAAAAGTAATAAAATCTCTCTTCCAACAGCTATTTTGGCAGTTTTTGTTAGTGCTTTACATATTTGTATTCTGCTTTTATGTGTATTGAGTATGTCACAATCTCCTAAATTACTATGGATTGTCCATGGCTAGTTGTTGCTTTTAAATAAAGTGTGAAAAATGCAGTTCATTCAATTCAAAGAAAGTGGTAGAGCTAATATCTTCTCCTGATCCATCAAACTCTGTAAGCAATAGAAGAAAAACAATGGGTACATACAACAGTGGCCAAAATAATGCTTTTGCTTCCACTTCGTTTCCTGATGTACAAGTTTTGCTATTTGGTATCCTATTTGCTATCCCAAACAGATGTGGCAACTTCAATGTGAATAAATGAGGAGGCCGTAGTATCTGATTTTGGGAACTGAACTGGTCAGAATGCCTCCCTTTTGTATCTTTTGAGTTTTCTGAACTTTTATAGAGGGAGGTGAATCAGGCCTTTTCAGGAGATGGGATTCAAGTCACAGAATTGTAGGGTTGCAAGAGACCACAAGGGCCATCCAGTCCAACCATCTGCCATGCACATATAATCAAACACTTCCAACAAATTCGGAGATAGCATTAAGATCTAGTGTGGTGCTCCTGAAGGCTTCCATGATATACAAATCTGCTTATTTTGTCACTGAGTAGTATGATTCTTTCACTGGAAAATTTGGGATAGAGGAGGCTTTGGAGCAGTTGTCAGGGCTTTGGAAACTAGCAAAAGGGTTCTAGATTACATTCAGCCCACAACTCCCCCGTGTATGTCCCAAAGGTCCTGAACTCATTCAACATGGGAACCTCCAAAAACAGAAAAAAATTCAGAATAGACTTTGTGACCCTTATTTTGTGGAAGTTAATCAAGTGAGAAAAAGAAAGAAGGACTTACCACAGAGAAGATCATGTGCTTTATCTAGCTTCAGTATAGTATCTTCTGAAGATCTTTTGTGTTGGCCGTGTTTCACTTTTCAGGGAAATGGCAGCGTATGGGTTGGCATGGTTAAATAACCTATCTGTATTACAGCGAAGTGGATTTTGAATTGAATACAAAACTACATAGATGCAAATTGAGGAATTATGCCTGTAAAGGGATTTTTCTCACCATAGCAGGGAAGACTATGAAGAGGTGGATTTTGTACGTGTTTGCTCAGACCGTTGTCTAGCTCTCTTGCTAAGGTTTTTTATCTTCAAACCAGAATATAAGTAGGTCTATATAAGAGAAATAAATATAAGAGAAATAAAGGAAAGGGTGCAGGCGTGTAGCCAAATCACTCAGCCGTACCCCCTTTCCCTTCCTTTTCCAAGGAGTGGGCTGCTAGCTGAGTGAAACCTCCTTTCTAGCTATGGGCAGCTGGCTGAGTGGAGTGCCATAGCTCCAGGGGGTTGTGCAAGCGTGCAAGTATATGAAGGGTGTGACTATTACGTGATGAAAGCAAAAATATCAATGGGGGGAGGGAGGTGGTGTGACTTTTATGTAGCTGCAACTATTATGCAATGAAATACAGTATGCATATGACCAACCATAAAAGCAATCCAATCAAAATGTAAAGTATTTTGCAAAGTAATTCTGTGCCTGTTTTCTCAGAACTAAATTTCACTGTCTAAAAGAGACCTCAAGCACATCTACACTGCTTAATTAATGCAGTTTGACACCACCATAACTGCCATGGCTCAATGCTATGGAATTCTGAGAATTGTAGTTTGGTGAGGCACTAGCACACTTTGGCTGCAAAGGCTGAAGACCCTATAAAAGTAGAACTCACATAATTCCATAATAATGAGTTAAAGTGACGTCAAATGGCATTTAATTCCACAGTGTAGATGCACCCTAACTCCACAAGACTACAGCAGTCAGTGGTATCCATAGAACTCTTTCCCAAGTTCAAATGTGTTGAATTTCTTTTTGGAATGGATATGGGAAACTACAAAGCAGATTTTTGTTCTAGATCTTATTTGATAGAAAAATGATATTTTTGTTTATGCAATGTTATATTTTGTATTTAAAAAATGAAATCCAGCTTTGTATTTTCCTGACATATGATTCATGTTCCAGACCTATAATTCCTATTATAGTTAGAAATTAGAATTAACAGTGCTACATCAATCTTTTTACCTGTATGGACACTTGGTGTGTGCATTGATGCAAAGTCTGTGCATTTTGGTATTCAAGGTGTGCCAGCTGTCACAGAGGTGTTCTGCACCTCCTGGTCTGTGATTAATCTGGATCAACCTTTGAATGTGAGTGGGTAGGGGTTATGAGACTCATGTGAAAAGTGTCCATATGTTCTTGATGGCTTACCAAAGCACTGTACTTTGTCATCATAAAGGTCACATTGAGCTACAGTAGAGAACTTGGGACATGGTTCATCCAACCCACTCCACAGAGCAAGCCTCCTGTCTTCAGAAGACACACATCATCAATAATTTGGTCCATTTTCTTTGAGATACATTTTGATTGCTCTTAATTACTTTATTTACTCCATTTGCAGAATCCAAATTGCAAAAGAGTAATTTATATGCAAATATTCAGGGGAATAAATTAGGGAGAGAAAGTATTCTTGAAAGCAAAAATTATTAAATTTCTCTTTGGCATTTCTAATCTTTTGCTGCCTTTTAGAAATGTTTAGGTGCTCTCAATACATCAGATGTGTATTGCATTATCTGTTAATCTTGGTGCTTGGTTACTTCCATTTATTAATTACAGAGATGATTCACAGCGTCAGTAGAGCTAAAGCCTTCTGCTTTTCCCATTATAAAACAGTTTTGTTTTGGTTTTTTATGAAGAGCTTTCACAGTTAGAAAACAAAATACTTATATTATGAGATTAGGTACGTATGTCTCATTCCTCAAGCCTTGATACAAAGACAGTCTTAACTAGGTTGGTTCAGAAAGTACAGACTGTACCAGGTGACACCATCGGAGAAGACAGCACTCAAATGATTCTGTAAACATTTTGGTGCCATGTTTCAGCAGAAATGCATTCTTTTTTTAAGGTAAAATAATATTTTTGTAGTCAGAACAACAATTAAAAACTCCAATATTTTTCTTAAGCTTAGATTACATGTACCTACAAGGATAAAAGTTTGTTAACTGACTTTCTGAACCTTTGTGCATGTGCATTAAAAGGTAATCTGCATGTTATGCATGTATGTGCTATTGTTTTTGTTGTTGTTACTGGTTTTTTAATAGTCACTGATTTTGTCAACCACTTTAGCTGTAATATTGTGGTGTGGTCTTGTATGTGGGGAGGTCCGTGGGGCTAATTACCATTCAGGGTGACACCCATTTGAGTGACCATAATTTGTTTTGTGGAAATACCCCCTTCCCCCTATATAATTTTCCTTCCCTTCGTAATTGGGGCTGGCTCTGCCACTTGGCAGATCGAGCTGGCTGCCGATGAGCTGGTCATTGACCGTAATAAAGTGAACTTGAACTTGAGTTGGCTGCCTATGGCAGTAGAGCAACAAAATACAGAGCAGTCCCCAAGTTACGAACAAGATAGGTTCTCTAGGTTTGTTCTGAAGTAGAATTTGTATGTAAATTGGAACAGGCACATTTTAAGTGTAACTCCGCATATATATATATATATATATATATATATATATACACACACACACACATACACACATACATACACACACACACACACACAGAGAGAGAGAGAGAGAGAGAGAGAGAAGCTTTGGATAGCACAGAGAAGGGTTAACACCCCTGTAATGTTTGGTTTGCTGCCTGTGCCCCTGCTCAGAAGATTTCCTCTCACTTTCTGTATTAACTGGTTTTGGAAAAAAATTGGTTTGTTGTGGAAACAACAATTGGTGAGAAAGCTTCAATTGAGACACTTTCCCCCCCATTATTCTCCACAAAATTCACTGCTGGTCTGCTGGTAATCTTTTTGAAAAAATATCATGTATGAATTTTGAACAGAATAAGTCCTCTGTTCTACACAGAAAACATTTTTTTTGTATAGAAAATAATACTTCTACACAAAAGTTGTTTTCTGTGCAACAATATCACATGTAAATTTTGAGTAGAATACAAATCCTGTTTATAGTTTGGTGAAGCACCAGCATTCTTGGTAAAGCTACTACTCCCATTATTGATTTATTTCTTTATTTACTATATATACTGCCCCTCTTAGCCCAAACTGAGCGACTCGGAGCGGTTTACAAATGCCAACAATTCAATGCCTTAACAATCATAACAATTAAAAATATAACAATCGTAAAATACCATTAAAAACATCAACATACAATATAAAAATATAAAACTGTACAAGCCTTAAAACATTGTTCTAAGTGTCTCATATCAAGTCATTGTTCAATTGCGTCATCAAGTAATTTGATTATTTCGTATGATTATGTCATGTTTGGGAAGGCCTGCTCAAAAAGCCAGGTTTTTACCTTTCTTCAAAAAGTCAAGAGGGAGGGAGCGTATACGATTTCTCAGATAAGAATATGCAAAATAACATGTATATGTAGAAGAAAGGACAAACATGTATAATTGGTACAATGGGTGGAGACAACCTGGGTAGTCCTGGAAGTACAATACCATTCCCTTCCCCAATCCAAATTACCCTCCCTCTCCCCCTCCTATCTAGTGTACCCTCTCCTTCCCATGTCACTCTCACCTCGTCACTTATTTCTACCCCAATGCCTATGAAACCCCTTTTTTTTTCTCTCCCCTCTCTTTTATTGTAAATTAGAAAAACCTAATAAAAATATACTAAAAAAAAAAAAAAAGAGGGAGGGAGACGATCTTATATCTTTAGGCAGGGCTCAATG